ATCTTCGCAACTCCGACTCGAGAAGATGCAACTCCGACTTTGGTTATTCCAAAGCAGTATGAAGAATTCAAAGATGACTTTGAAAAGAAGAATGCTGATATGCTGCCAGAGCATCGACCCTATGACTGTGCCATTGAATTGCAAGAAGGAGGACAACCACCTTTTGGACCAATCTACAATTTGTCGCAGATGGAGTTGATTGAGTTGCGGAAGTATGTTGATGAGAATCTAGCCAAGAACTTCATCCGTCATTCAAAGTCGCCAGCTGGGGCACCAATCTTATTTGTGAAGAAGAAGGATGGCTCACTACGGATGTGCGTGGACTATCGAGGTCTCAACAAGGTGACAAAAAAGAATCGCTACCCACTGCCTTTGATCTCTGGTCTTCTAGAACAACTTGGGCGTGCAAGGATCTTTACAAAGATTGACCTAAGGGGAGCTTACAACCTTGTGCGAATTAAGGAAGGAGATGAATGGAAGACAGCGTTCCGAACAAGGTATGGCCATTTTGAATACAATGTCATGCCATTTGGTCTTACTAATGCTCCAGCGGTCTTTCAACACATGATGAATGACATCTTTCGAGAGCATCTAGACGATTTTATTGTCATCTATCTAGATGATATTTTGATATTTTCTAAGAATGAGGAAGAACATGAGAAGCACGTTCGTCTGGTACTCAAAAAACTATGGGAGCGAGGACTGTATGCCAAATTGGAGAAGTGCTTATTTCACCAAACTGAGATGGAGTTTTTGGGATTCATTGCGACTACGGAAGGCTTGAAGATGGATCCAAAGAAGGTGGAAGCAATCATGTCTTGGGAAGTTCCGAAGACGGTTAGGGACGTACAATGTTTTTTTGGATTTGCTAACTACTATCAGATCTTCATCAAGAATTATTCTCAAGTTGCTGCCCCCCTCACTCGGTTAACGTGTAAGGACAAGCTCGAATGGGGACCTATCGCAGAAAAAGCATTTCAAGATTTGAAGATGGTATTTACTACAGCTCCAATCTTGGTACATCCGGACTTTACAAAGGCCTTTTATTTGGAGACAGATGCTTCGGATTTTGCTTTGGGAGCTGTACTTTCACAGATGGGCGTAGATGAGAAGCTCCATCCAGTTGCATTCTATTCTCAAAAATTCTTTGTTGCTTAGATCAACTATGAGATCCACGATAAGGAACTCCTTGCTATAGTAGATTCTTTCCAAGAGTGGCGCCACTTTCTCGAAGGAACTGCACATCCAGTGACCGTATATACGGATCACAAGAATTTGGAGTATTTTATGTCGGCTCGGGTTTTGAATCGGCGTCAAGCTCGGTGGAGTATGTCGCTATCCAGGTTCGACTTTGTTATTACTTATCGGCGTGGGAAGCAACAAGGGTTGTCCGATGCATTATCAAGGAGATCATATCTCGCGCCAAAGGCTGGAGATGCAGCATTTAATCAACAATGCACGACATTGTTGAAGCCAGAGAAATTTTGGCTCAACGCAGCTATTGTACCAATTGATGCTGACTTCCTCGACCAAGTATGGGTCGTAACCATTGAAGATTCTTTAGCCTTTGATATCAAGCAACATACTAGTAATGATAAATTCAAGATGGAAGGAGATCTAGTATATTTCGAAGAGCGGTTGTATATCCCAAAAGGGCCAACATGACTCCGAGTTCTTCAATCTCGTCATGACTTTTCAGCTGCGGGACATTTTGGATTCAATAAGACCTTGGAACTTATTTCCCGCGATTTCTGGTGGCCTCAAATGTGGAAGGATGTGAAAGATTTTGTTGTATCTTATGACATTTGTTTAAGATCCAAAAACCCTCGACATCGGCCTTATGGACTTCTACAGCCATTGCCTATTCCGCGCCGACCATGGTCTTCGATTTCCATGGACTTTATTACGGATCTACCACCATCGAATTCATTTGACAGCATTTTTGTTGTCGTAGACCGGCTTACAAAGATGGCGCATTTTGTCCCTTGCAAGAAGACATCATCAAGCGAAGACACAGCAAGACTCTTTCTTGATAATGTGTATCGATATCATGGTCTATCAGATGATATCGTATCGAATCGAGGAACACAGTTTGTGTCAAAGATTTGGAAATCTCTTTTTGAAATATTGAAGGTGGATATCAAGCTTTCTTCGGCATTTCATCCTCAAACGGACGGCCAAACAGAACGGGTGAATCAAGTTTTAGAGCAATATTTACATTGCACCATCAACTATCAACAAGATGATTGGGTCGCATATCTACCGCTAGCCGAGTTCGCATATAACAACACCCTTCATGCGTCAACTCAACAAACGCCATTCTTTTCCAATTATGGATACCATCCAAAGCTTGACTTATGGAGTTCGTCAACGATTAACAATCCGGCAGCTGAAGGATTGGTGAAGGAGCTTTCGCAGCTTCAAACTACATTGAAGCTTCAATTGCAAACTGCCTAAGAATCTTACAAGGCGTCCGCGGACAAATTTCGGAATCAGGCACCTAAATTCACGATTGGAGACAAAGTTTGGCTGCTTCGACGAAATATTAAGACCAAGCGACCATGTGACAAATTGGACTATCGAAGATTGGGACCATTTGTTATCCAGAAGCAGAACAATCCTGTAGCGTATCGTCTGGAGTTACCAGCTACTATGAAGGTACATCCTGTCTTTCATGTTTCTTTGTTGGAGCCTTATCGAGAATCATCTTTTCCTGGAAGAGTACAATGTCCACCACCTAGCATAGAAATAGAGAACCACGAAGAATACGAGGTGGAAAAGGTCCTGGATTCACGGCAAAGACGGGGTAAATTAGAATACTTTGTGCATTGGAGCGGTTACGATATTAATGAACGAACATGGGAGCCGGCCAAAAATCTCGCGAATACGCCGCAAAAGGTACAGGAGTTTCATCGACGATATCCTGAAAAACCCAAGCCGGTTCGACGATAGCTTCTTACTGAAGCTTGCTCATCCAAAAAACAGAAAAGAGAAGAGAGTACCACCAAAATCCATAGTTAATGTAGTCATTCTCTCCAAGATAGCGTAGAACTTTGTTAATAGCCCAAGTTTGTTCTTATTGTTTTAGCCTTTGAATATGGATAGCCAAGATACTACACTTGTCATGTCATCTCAAGCAACTAGCTCACGAAGACGACCGCGAGATGAAGAACCGCTTGCACCACGACGATGTCAAAGGATTTCGAGCAACAGATCGCTGGTGATTGTATTTGAGGTCGAGCCTGCCTACAATGGTCAGCCAGAAGGAGTGTTTGCAGGACAATTTCACAATGAAGACACGGAGGTTCATGCTTGGTCAGAAGTTGAAGGCGTGGGCCACTACCGTTGGCTTCAAGGACCATTGAATCACTTGCCTCATGAACAACAATTGGAGTTCATAGCAGAGGTTATGCGACAGATCTTCATTTTCTTGCGTTGGTATTGACTGACGATAACATTGCTTCTCGGAGACCTCGAAGCTAAAGGAGGAGGTGATGTTAGGGACATAGTCCTTAGACCTTTCTAGAGACAAGTTTCTAGAACCTTCTAGAAAGAAGTCTCTAGAAACTTCTAGAAGATTCCTTGAATATTCTCTTAGAATATTCTTCAAAGATTCTCTAAAGATTCTTTGAAGATTCTCTAAAGATTCCCTTAGAAGGCTTTAGAAGATTCTTAGAATATTCTAATAGATTCTAGGAAGTTACTTGAGAAGCTTCCTAGCTCTTGGGTAGTTGCTCGAGAAGCTTCATAGTTCTTGGGAAGCTTCTTGATGCGCTTCCTTAGAACCATAGGCCAGTAGTATATATAGGAGTCGAGGCTGAAGAGTTCTTCAGTCTCGACAACACATCTCTTGAAGCTCTAGCTCAATTCTCTTGGCGTTGTTCTTGTACTCATCCGATAATCTAGTTCTTGTCATTTCTTCTTGAACTTCTTGTTTAGATTTCTTGTTTGTATTTTTGGTCCGTGACAATTATTGCATCTTATTTTTCTCCTTTTTTTTTGCCTACTTCTCCTCTTCTTCCTCCTCCTCAACCACCTCTCTCTCACTCTCTCACTTAATCAGCTTTTCTTTTATTTTGACTCATTTTTTGTATATTATATTTTTTAATTTAAGTATATTTAATAAAAGACTATTATTTAGAATTGGTTTTATAACACATAAATAATATTTAGATAAAAAAAAAATCTCTATAATTGTTGTTTATATGGAGACATAAGTCGAGATAAAGGCTCATAATAATAATGGGAGTTGGAAGCAAGGATTGAGAGCAAAAGATGGAAACAAAGGGAATTGGGATAATGGTTAGGAGTGGGGGAATGGAGGAATAAGGGAATGAGGGATTGAGATGAAGGTTGGAAACAAAAGAAGTGAGATTAAGAATGAAGAAGATTGAAATAAAGGTTAGAAACAAAAGAAGCAAGATTAGGAATGAAGAGGGTCAAGATGGGAATTGGGAACAAAGAAGGTTGGGATGAGGGTCATGATTCTAATGATAGTTTTTAGAAATGATCCATTTTTCTAATGATGGTTATCATAGGATGGATCAATTTAGTAAAAAAGTGAGTCATTTTAAGATCTTTTTTAATTTTATTCATTCATACTTAGAGATATGTATATATACATGTCATTAAAAACATAAATTTCTCAATAAGTTGGAATTATTTTCACCTCCATTTATCAGCTCTTAAATATGTGTTTTTAATTATTTATTTATGCTGATGCATCAACCTAACATTGCATTATTTGAAAACTATGGACTATTACCCTCTTTATACATTTATTATTATTTATTCTTATTTCTTGATTTGATATTGTAAATTTTTAATTCACAAATGATAATTGTATCCAACGAAAAATTATTTCAATAGTTAATAAATGCAGTGCTTAGCTCAAAGTTTACTATATGCGTCAATGCGATTGTGCTTTTACAGATACCCGGGTAGAAACTGGGAGGGGAGAGGAGGACCCGTGTATCTTGACAGAGCACGATGCGGAGGAACCAGGCTGCGATGCGAGTGAGGGAAGAGGAGAAGAGGAGGAAGGGTGTCACGCTTCCCGACCTCGACACCATCCCAAATTGCTTCCTCACGCATTGCAATTCTCGCGACGGATCGACAGGAAGCAGATTATCCGCCCCCCCTCGTAAGTCAGAACCTGAGTGCCTTCTTCGAGAGGGTCATTATTCGGAGGGTTTCGGCGCCGTATTGAGGGAGGACGAGGAGGCACAAGGCGTCGGAGCCTGGTGCTGGTAGGGTTTGCAGTTGGCTTGGCTTGTGTGTGAGGTTCGACGATGTTTAGGAACCAGTACGACACGGATGTTACGACATGGAGCCCGGCGGGGCGCCTTCACCAGGTGGAGTACGCCATGGAGGCTGTGAAGCAGGGTAGTGCCGCGATTGGGCTGAGGTCTAAGACACATGTGGTGCTCGCCACTGTGAACAAGGCTTCATCGGAGCTTTCGTCCTACCAAAAGAAGCTTTTCAAGATTGATAATCACATTGGGATTGCCATGGCGGGGCTCACTGCTGACGGGCGTGTGTTGTCTCGGTACATGCGATCGGAGTGCGTCACTCATAATTTTGTTTATGAGTCGCCTCTGCCGGTGGGGCGTTTGGTTGTTCAAGTCGCAGATAAAGCGCAGGTACGTAGGTTAATTCGACGTTGACTTCGATCTGTTCGGATCGGATTAGCTTGAGTCGTTTTTAAGGTCTCTCTGCTGAACAAACAACTTGTTGGAGTATTGTTCAATTTGAGTGCAAATACATGGTGATCGTAGTTACCTTGATTTCGAGTAGTTATACGTTCACGAGACCAGAACATCAGCGTGGACTTCGCGTTTCTGGATGTTCTGAATCAACTCTTCCTCTTTTTAGGGTTAGATGAATTTATTGAAAACTTAGGAGTTGAACTCCTTGACTTAAGAGAATGGAGTGATAGTATGAGGTCTGAAACAATAGTTAACGAGTCAATTCGAGAGCTCGTAACTTCTCATGTACTCTGTATAGTTGTAGGATACATCTTCTATGGTGCTGCATTTGCAGCTTCGTAGTAGTTTACTCTCGCTGTTCACCGTAATTTCCTGTAAATATGGGTGTTGTGGTGAAGGTGCCTAATTAACATTCAAGACCATAAGAATGAGAGTAATATTGCTCATCTGGGCGCCACAGTGTGCTGAGTGTCCCTGTTGATCAAAGTCGATTTCGAATTTCCTGCAGACAGAAATCTTAATAGTTCAGTGTATGCTCCGGGCAAACAAACTTCTTACTTATTGAGCTACTTAATGCACCATCCTGAATATATATACAAATTTTGAGTATCTACTTTCATTGCACCAAGGTATTATGATTTTGTACGCTGTGTGTTCGTTTTATCACCTGCATTTTTTTCCATTGTTCTACTGTAGCTTAAGTCCGTCGACCTATGTCAATGTGTTCGTTTAGTGCATATTTACATTTCTTGTCGCAGCTAGCTGCTCTGAACTGCTTTTATTCTGCTGAGCATTCTTGCATTTTAGGGTAACATTTTATTTTGAACATTCACATTTCATAATCATCACTGTAACTCTGCTGATTTCCCTTTAAATCTATCAGAAGAGCTCTGTTCATTGCAACGATACTTGTATCCTTTTAATCTGCAACTTTTTGCTTTCAGCAAATATGTTCATGTTACGGTTTTATTGGTCCCGAATTGCCACAGTTGCGTTGTGAGAGCATTTCCTGTGAATGGTCGACCTTTCGATATGCTCTCATATCTTGCCTATTTCAACATTTTTATTTATTTTCCCATTCCTGCAGGTATGTACGCAACGCTCGTGGAAGCGGCCATATGGAGTAGGTCTTCTAGTTGCAGGACTGGATGAAACTGGTCCCCACCTTTATCAGAACTGCCCTTCTGGCAACTACTTTGAATTCCATGCTTTTGCAATTGGGTCCCGTTCACAGGCTGCGAAGACTTACTTAGAACGGAAATTTGAGAGTTTCATGGATTGCTCAAAAGTAGAGTTGGTTCGTCATGCTCTTCATGCTGTGAAGGAGTCGCTTCAAGAAGAAGAGCTTAGCAGTGCCAACTGTGGTGTAGCTATTGTGGGTATTGGAGAGCCTTTCGTCATTCTTGACTCCAAGTCACTTCAGGCATACATTGATTCATTGGAAGAGGGCAAGAACGATCAAGCGGCTAAACTTGAAGTAGAAGAGGAAGGAAACGCTGCAGTTATTGAGCGACAGGATATTTCAGGTGGGGCAGGAGTAGGGGTTGGTGCTGAAGGCGAAGGCCCGACCGACATGGAGACTTAGTGAGAGGAAGTCCAGAGACCACCAAAAGCAGGGGAAGGTGATGCATAGTGCTGTGGATGTCAAGGGCTTGCTATTTTTTGCACTCTTTGCTTCCTAAAAGTGAACGAATCATGCAGTTTACAAGTATGTTAACGTCTTTATCATTTTCCTTGTGCTGCATTGAAGCCAATTTCGATTCCTTTGTGTGTTGCCAAATGGGGTGGTAGCTTTCATGCTGTTCGTTATGAGCATCCTCGAGGTCGCAATGTGATAATCAATTGCTAACATGAATTCATATAATGTAAAATGTTTAATATCATTTTACACAGTGTCGAAATTTAAAAATTAAAAAAAAAGTTACAGAAAGGTTTTGAAGTTCCATTAAGTCCCTTCAAATATTGACTTGACATGGACAAGTGTCATAATGCTCACAGTTTTTAAATACTTTTTTGAAAAGGAAATGCTACATGTGCTTTGCACAAATGGTTTGTTTTTATTTGAATGCATCAATTTATAGAAGGGTCTTACATTCAAAATCTGTATACTAAACACCCCCAAGTCAATTGATTTGTAGTTGAATCATTCTTCAAAAGTGAATTTACTGAAGAACAATATGTATTAATGTAGTTAGCAGAATGATTCCATTTGTAATGTACATATTTTGTGGTATAATAAAATAATATAATATTAAAATCGATAATTATAATTCTATTGAAGGTTTCAATTAATTATTTTTATTTCTAATACAATATATCAAACTTTTGTTGTAAAATAACTTATTGTGTACATATTGTAATGTTTAAAAGATGTTAACATTCCATTGATGCTTATAAAATTAAAGTAAAAGATTATTGGTAATTTTTTATCTATGTTAAAAATGATTAAATAAGATAGATTTTTCTAATATATTTATATATATGTATATATGTAAAAAGTAACAATAAAGCAATCCAAATTTTTATTAAATCAATCCACATGTTTGAACCATCATTTTACCCTTTTAATTCCATCGTTGTTCTCAACTGTTTTCATGTTTCCAACCATTGCATCCATTCTTAGCAATTCTCATGTTCCCAATTGTTGCCCCCCCCCCCCTTCCTAGCTGTTGTTATGTTGGAAAGTAGCATAATATGTAAAAATAATATAAAATGTTATGAAAGTTTGGATTATAATTAAAAATAAAATAAAATATTTATTTAATTTACTTAAGTTTGTTGTTTAAGTTTTATAATTAAAGATTGAAGTTGTAAGATTTATTAGTAAGGAATGTAGAAAGATTTTGGTGTCAAAAGCATAATATTATGATTCATAGGCCATCCCATGTGAGTAGATTAGGTAAGTGATAGAGGACTTTATTCTCATTGGTTGAAGGTCATGTCCAATGAGCTTCAAAATGTTGTCTAAGACCACATTAGAGTTTGAGGCAACTTTAGGGTAGCCCATTCAAGGCAAAGCAGAGTATTCAAGGCAAGGCAATCCATTTGAAGTTTGAAGGTTGGATTCAAAAAGATTGTGCTTTGGACTAGAAATTAGGCATGAAAAATATATGATTTAGATTTTTGGATAGAGAAGATATGGTTGTTTGAAGATAAGATGTGAATTTGGTACTTATTATTACTCTTGTAAGCATATAAAGAGTTGTAGGAAGGCATTTAGTAATCGAAAGGTAGTATTGGAAAGTTGACTTAAGAAGCTATATTTTATGTGAAGGAATTGATAAATTCTGATTTGGAATGAATAAAAAAGAGTTGTTAAAGTCAATGCTTCAAAATTGGAGTTTGTAAGTGAGTTCCTTTCATAAAGGATTTGATTTGAGCCATATTTTAAGTTTTTGAATGAATTTTTGGCTAAAAATTTTCATAAATATAGATGACTATGTTAAAAACTTTTTAATATAGATGACTATTTAAAAAAGTTGCATATGAGAAATTCATGGTATTCTATGATACAATTAAAGTGATCTTCACTACTTTCAAGATTACCAACTCAAGTTTAGACAATGACATTGCAATCATATGGATACCTTCATTATTCTATTTATTTATTTTGGAAAGACACCTCACACTTAGGGTACCTTCTCTTGAGCTATGATTTTTGAAAATATAGTTTCCTTTGAATGCACTTATCACTTGTCATTCTTAAGTAGTGGGTTATAAAATAAAATAAGTAAATTAAAATATTTCAAACTTGTTTGGCCTCCTATGTAGATGAACATTGCTTTCAAGAATTCTTCCTAAGTATCCAATTTAAAAATCTATTATTAGTAGTCTCAAAAGGGGCATCAACACAAAACGGAATTCCATGCAGAACACTTAGTTTGGTCGCAGCAGGGCACGGCAATGGGCGTTGCCTTGGGAGGTTTTTGTCCGAGGGGTTAAGGAGCTCCATCATTTACCGCTTTAGGGTTTCGAGACACGCTTGCTTGCATTTGCATCCCCTGGTGTTTTCTTCTCTTCTGCCTCTCCTTCTTCTTCTTCTTCATGGAGTTAGTTTTGTTGAACAGGGTGGTGATGGCAAGAACAAGGATGTTTGAATCGTCAACTGGCGTTTTTCATTCTCAATCGTCTACTGCATTAGTGTGCTTCGTGAATTGATGCTTTGTTTGACTTGAAGGCGAGTGGAGTTGTGAGCTCTTCCGTGGTGACATGGCGAGGCGGTGGTTTCGGTTACTGCTTCTGCTGCTTGCTCTGGTCTCTGTGGTCGTCCATTGCTGTCGTGCATTGGAGGAAGAGGACTCACAGGGTTTGGTAAAGGAGGACGTGGTGTCTCTCGAGGGAGAGGAGCTCGACGATGAGGATGAGCTAGAGGATTTGGATGAGGGGTTGGAGGATGGCGGGGGTGGTTCGGATTCCTTCAGCTCTGTTGAGACCATGGCCGCTAGCAAAGTGGTCAATGTGAACGATCGGGACGTGGAGAGAGTGGTTGCGCGTTTTGAATACGTTTTGTTGTTAGGTTACGCGCCGTGGTGCACCCAGAGCCAGAAGCTTCTCCCCGAATTTGCAGCGGCGGCCCTTAATTTGGTACAGCTTGGAAATCCTACGGTGTTCGCGAAGGTAGATGCTATTAACAATCTGGCTACTTCGTCTCGATACGGGATACGCGGGTATCCCACGCTCATCTTCTTCGTCAATGGTTCTCGACAGGCGTACTCTGGAGGTCATTCCAGGTGTGTCTTTCGTACCTTCAGTTTTTTGCTAGAAGCTTCTTGCTGTTGTCTATTCGCATCAAGTCATTTCGCATCCCTAAAGCACCTCCATGTGTAGTTGCTGTTTAATTGGAACTTGAAAGTTCAGACGAATGCAGCCTTTCATTTGAACTACCCGTTGATGGCGCTCTTTCAAGAAATAAATCCTCTATTCGCAAATCGCAGCCCTTCTTCGAGTATGTATGTTAAGTACAGGTTCTCGACAGATGAATATGGTTCCTGGTGAATATAATCCTGGCCGTTGAAATCGCACCAGAGAATGATCAATTTAAACGTCGTTTGAATACCTGAGAGTAGTTGCAGAAGATTGAATTTCGAAAGTGCTGTTTGTCCATCTTTGGCCCTGTTATCCTTTCAAAGAGGAATTGAATCCATGTTGTGCACCATTATTACTTAAGAAAGTCAATGCTAGCCACGGATTGTCACATTTAGCTCTGGAAAACTGCGATTAAGGTGACACGGTCAGGCTTTCGTAGTTGAATTGTAAACTTTGTAAAGGAGATCGTCGCTCATTATCAGCTGCGGAGGGATGCAGGGAGGAAATCTCTCTTTGGGTGCGTAAAAAGACAGACAATGCTGTTACTACAATTAGGAGCGAAGAAGAGGCTGAGATTATTCTGAAAAAGAATCTGACTACAGTTCTTGGTTACTTTGACAAGCTAGAGGTACATCTTACCTCGAGCATTTTTTCTGTTTATGCTTTCTTAATTGATGGTCTTTGATGTGCTAGTAAGCAAGTATGGTGAATGTGTAAGAAGCCAGTTTTGTAAGGCTCTATTCTTATTCCTGAAGGCCTTGGCCTTTGTTTAGTTTTTATTTCGTAGTGCATGGATATTTCTGGGAAGCGAGTGCCATCGCTAATTTAGTTTGGTGTCGTCTTGGTACTGAGATTCTGAAATTCAATGTCTATGCAGGGCCCAGAGCATGAAGCATTTGTTGCAGCTGCGAAATCGGAAATGAACACTGAGTTCGTGCAAACCACGGTTGCGGAAGTTGCGCAAGTGTTCATCAGGCCGCCATTTGTTGCATTGCGCAAGCCTGAACCTGAGTATTTCTCTGCCTTCGGTATGGGTTTTGGGTTTGCGCATTCGCTTTCATTTTTTGTTCTGTACGAAATACAAACCAGGCTACGGTGATACTTGAAGGAATTATGTTATCCATGCTCTTACTGCTCTAGGCACTGTGGAGTGCATCGAGTACTGATGTTAGCTGAACAAAATCTACACTACGAGGCATCTTAGTCGTTTTGGATCTATACTATTAAGAAACAAGTCTATTACATCATTTAAATCGGTTTAAATGATACAGATGGCAATTTCAGTCCGAAGGAGATAAGCTTGTTTGTGGAGATGAACAAGCGCCCTCTTCTCACCGTGTTGAACTCTAAAAATGCCAACATGGTTTATTCCAGCCCTCTGAAGTTGCACGTACGTACTTTGGGCAACTCTTTGTGCGCTTGTTCTTCTCCAGTTTCTGGTCACATGTACGTCGTAAATTCGGAAGTGCTATTGGAGGACAAACATGATGACAGAATCCTGCTTCGATTGCAGGTTTTGCTATTTGCAGAGACCAAAGATTATGAAAGTATAAAACCTCTATATATGGAGGCAGCACAAGACTTCAAGTCGAAGGTTTCATCTCACTAATTATTTCTGTTGTTGTTTGGGTCCTGGAATTGCATCGTAAATGTATTATTTTCACTAGTGATCTTCTTTCATCCCGCGTTAGTTTGGTCTTTCTCCTGTCGCATTCTGGTGACTATATTCTTTTGTATCTTGGAGGAGATAAGGTAGGATGGATTCCATGTGTTGTCTAGAATTTGAAGCCACACTTTGAGCTACCACAAGGCATTACTACTTTAACACCCATTGTTACATTTTTATGCAGGTCATGTTTGTGGTTGTTGATATGGAGGATAAGGACTTCGCAATGCCTATGCTTGCTGTGTATGGTTTGGACAGGAATAAACCTGTTGTAAGTAATCAAGTCCTTTGACTTCGAGATGGCTGTTTTTCTGATAACATCATAAAGTATTGAGTCGTAAAACTTGATGACTTAAAGAAGCATTTTATTGCCCCTGGATGCGAATAGCTGCTCTTCTACTAATGTGAATTTCTTCATAAGTGTTTTTAAAAGTTTTAGCCTGTTTTGTACCCACTTGGGTGATACGGGGTTATATAGTTTGAGCTTCTAATGTTGACTCCAGACCTTAGGGTATGTTGAGCATACTCGAACCAAACAGGTAGATTGGAATATGCTAGTTCTAGGCTAATTTATGTCTGGATTTCCTCGTTCCTTTAGCTTACTTGACCTCGTCGTCCACACAGGTTGCCGGCCTTAACAATGAAGATGGTTCAAAGTATCTTATGGAGTCAGACTTAACCGTTGAAAATTTGAAGGTAATGAAAGGAAATATACTAGTGTTTAACTTTCATGTGGAGACATTTGTTGTAATTTTTGAAATGTATCGTCTCTTTTTGGCTATTGAGCTTTGTTTGCACTGGTATAGGTTGGTCTATTTGACAACTCGAGATTTGATTTTCCTTTTACCAGCTTTTCGTTTTGTTGGCGTTGTTTTCGACTATTATACGGCTTTGTGGATTAGAATGGTTGTGCTCTAGCATTTCAGACATAGATATCTTTTCGTTTACTTGGTTTCTGCTTGTGCAAGTGCAGAAATTTGCAGCTGACTTCTACTCTAGAAAGCTTCCGCTGTATTTCAAGTCTCAGCCAGTCCCTGTTGAGGTGAAGCTTTGTTCTTGTGGTCTTTTATGCTGAGTGTTTAGTATATTTCTTCAACCTCTTTTCATATGCTTTTCAGCAAGCTCCAAACATTTCTACATATTGTTTACTTTTCTGCTCATCTTTGTCGGGCGTCCTAACTTGCCGCTCCTGATTCTTGTTTGCAATTTGTATTTTATGTGCAGAATGGTCTAGTCAAGATAGTTGTGGGGAAGACTTTTGATGAGGTTGTGATGGATGATTGGAAAGATGTTTTTCTTCAGGTAATGCCCACTCTTCCTACTTGCTGGTAACATTGCCGTGGTTGATGAAAATGTAGACATGACTATTTATATATCCCATGCACGTTGTTGTTCGATGCGATAAATTTCTTCAGCGGAAGCAAATTCATTTCTTAAGCATCGTACCATCCAGTGCGGATGTGGTATTCCTTGTTGATTGCTGGTGGCCATGTCCGAGTAATTGAGAAAGTGATTACCAAGTGGTCTGCCACTGTACAACTAAGCGTGGGTTTGGGTGCACTTCAGGTACATGCGCCTTGGTGCCCATCTTGTGAAAAAGTCAATCGAGTATTTGAGAAATTGGCCAGACATGTCCAAAAGGTGCCATCTCTGCTAATGGCGAAGTTTGATGCACAGGCCAATGAACATCCCTCTTTGATGGTAAACAGCAGGATTCTTGAATTCCTTTGTAATTTCTGGATAGAAGTGAATTTGTTCGTTTAAATTTTTCTTGTTGTGCTAGTAGCCATGATCATGTTCATTTGTCATGTAACATGTGGATGTTGTCTTTCCGTACCGAAGTTATTTTCATAGTGCAGAAGTGAAGATACCGTGGTCAAATTTGTTGTTGTGAAAGTTTCTCTGAGAACCCGGATGATTATATATGAAGGATCGTTTACAGTGGCTTCATTTATTGCTGCAGGATGTTCATAGTTATCCATTGCTGTTGCTATATCCGGCTGGCAGGAAGTCAAGTAAACCGGTTCGTATAAATTTATATCCCTAAGTGCTAACTGCTGACTACATCTCTCAGCTGTAGTGTACCTCGCAAAGTATCAGTTTTTTTAACATTTTGTTTTCGTAAGAATGAGGACTTTATTAGTACTGAACTCTTTTTGACGCTCTAGATGCATGATTTAATGGCCCTAGAAGTTCATTCTGATCAGTTGGATACATTATTGGCTTTCATCAGCCATCTATTGTTCAAATATTGATTTTATTGAGTTGTTTACTGCAGATTGTTGCACAATCACAGGCAAGCTGGAAGAAGCTTTTGGTCTTCCTAAAAGAAAACGTTGCTATTCCGTTTCCTGTTTCAAACGGTGATGAGATTGTACCTAAAGCTCATGGTGTGAACGATGTAGCGAGGTTGGATGCTGAGCAGGTCAAGGAAATTAATGATCCTCTTTCAGTTGAAAACTTGGAGAAGGAACCTGTTGATGAAGCTTCAGGTAGTCAGGAGGTAGCTGAGAAGTTATACCTTTCCTCACAAAGTGGTAACAACGTCGAAGACTTGTATTTTGCGGAGCTGAATGACGAGCTTTGACTGTATCTCTCAAGATTATTCTAGAGCCAACCGAGTAGCTTTTCAAAGATACAGATTCCGTATATTTGTTTCCAAGCGGAGTTTGAGTGGCTCGTAGTCATGATGCGTGAACCCACAACTGTCAGGCGGAACATGTAGCATTATTGTTGGACATTAGTGCGAGTTCAGATGAGCAAGAGTGAAGAGGTGTTACCAATGACACCCTCCTCTGGAAGTCCTGGGGTTCTGCAGCTGGAACTCCCTGAATATTGCATGCGAACAATTTCAATGCACGTATACGTGATTTAAGCCCCACAGAAACCTTCATCAGGACCTTAATTTGAAGTGAGCATGGCTTTATTTATTTGAAGAAAAAGGAATTTTCGTGTTTTAGGGTTTGGTGGGTTCTGACTGTGTGAGAGAGACAGCGGAACTGTTGTTTATGGACGATTGAGGTTTGGAAACGGTAATGTCAGACGTTCATACTCGTTTCAGTTGATAGATTGTTGGGCTTGTATTTTCTTCTGTTAACACATTTTGAAGACTGAACTTATAGGTGTTATCATGAAGTAGCGGGAATCTGTAATGACGTTTAGGGCACTTCTTGAGAGTATTGCATGCAGTTCTTGCAACCAAATAATTCAATTTGTGAATATGCCTCCTGTGTAATTCTCTTTATATGCTGCATTGGTGAATTAGATTTCTGTAAGATTGCCGCCATGATGTTCCAACATTCGTTATCCCAGCATCAGAGGCTCTACTGCATGGATCATGTGAGGCCCCTGAAATGAATCTCCCACCAGTTCTATACGATGTTCCTTCACTGCGTTCTGTCGTACGAATTTGCAGCAAAATTGATCAGTAGTTCGTCATTCCAAGGTCGTGAGTTAAGGGTCACAGTGTGGGTTTACGGATATTTTGTGGCTTCTTCTGCGGCTGTGGCACTGATCAATTCCTCTGGACATGCTCACTACCTTTTCATGCATGTCCGGTTGAAGGCGCATGGAAACAACTTGACAACAAAATGTCGCCCTTGTTGGGTTAAAGAAGGAACTTACATCCTTGGAGGTAAACCGACCTTTCCATTCACTACAACGGTGTCTCTTGCTGCAGATACAACGGTGTCCATGAATAATAAGATACTCTGATTCGGTTGATGGCCGTGAGGCCGTTGGAAGCGATGATCTTAATTTTTCAGCCTTCACTAAACATTAGCAAACTGGTCCTGGGAGCAAGACAATCGGGCATTGATCTTGTGCTTGAATTTGTCTGGGCTTGACTGTCGGTGCAGTATCATCGTTTATCGGCACATTCGTGCCGTGACGAGCCATCCATCATCTTGAAGTCACTCTACGAGCTGCAATTGCTATGTTTTCGGATCCTAACAAGAGCATTCAACTGTACCAGGCAACTGCAATCTGGTCTGTCACAGTTGTATGGCTACATGAGGATGGCAAGCCTATGGATTTCAGGTATGTATTTGCAACCATCATAAACAAAATCAGGGGCATGGCTTTTGGACCCTAGATCAGTAACATTCAGCAGGTTTGGCATTACACTCTCTGAACTTGTACCGGAGGACAGCGGAAAAGAAAAATGAAGTGTCTGCGGGCCTTGCAAGGGTCAGGAGTGGCGGATGAAGAAAGGAAGTGTGGAAGACCATGCGGACTATTTGGGGGGCTGGAACAGTTCGGGAATAAACCTGGTGAGCGGATCCTCGTTGAATCCTCTCATGTTACATGGAGTTGTGAATTTTATACGATGCCTCTTATTCTGACGATTAGTTTGTGAACTACACTTGAACAAACTAGCAGTGAAAGTTTCACTGCACGCACACCAGGAGCTCAATTTCTGTGTGCTGCAATGAAACCAGGAGATGGCAAAGCCAACACCTGCTCCTGCAAAAAGTGAGGTTGGGTTGTGTCTGTACTGATGCGGCAATCCACTGTTGATGTATTGTCGATTCGATGTGTCTTATTCCTCCAAACAACTTCTCAATCAGCATGTCTGATCAGTATTTTCCAGCACCCCTTCGGGAAACCAATGTCCACAAACCTTGCTGTTGTTGTTGTTGCTATTGTTATCATTTCTCATGGTTGCTTCTTCACTTTGCATCCTAATGGACACAGCCCTAGTTTAACATTCATGTTGCTGACACAGATACCTTTTGATGCAAGATGCTTTGCACTGCTTCTCCTGCATTTGTAGAGCTTCTTTGTCCTCATCTACATGCTCTGGTCTCCATGCCAAACTGTTGTAAACCCATATTTTCCTGAGCTAGGAAATGGTGCCAGAATAAGCTGGCTTCATGTAAGGTTGTGTGCATTTCAGTTAAATCTAGTGGCTGGGCATGGGTTTGGGTCACACCATTGAGATGGGAGCCCACCAACCTGGGTCATCACCATGAAGAAGCTGCAGTGGTGATGGCATTGGTGATGGTGCATGTGTGTGTGTGTGTGTGTGTACTGCCCTGCAGTCTTCATGAAGCCCTGCAGCAGTGCAGCAGCAGCAGCACATCAGTGAGCTGTATGTTTTTATCCCATCACTCCTGCAGATACCAACCTTAATGGAAGATGATAAGAAGATGTGCCTTGGACCACATTTTCTAATGAATATGTCTTGGTTCATTTCGGAAGAATTTTTGAAACAGTAATTTTTCTGCCTAACTTTTTTTTTTATTAGTGAGTGCTTTGAGTGATGCCCACACCTTTTTATTTCACTACTTCGACATGCTGGTATTGAAGTATGTGTGTAAAAATAAATTAATTGAAAAACTGGATTGGTTGTTGTAGTATTTTCGTTTTTCATTTTTCATTTTTATTTTTATTTTCTTTTTCCCATTGTTTTATATCTTGAACATTATCAACTTTCTCTCTCTCTCTCTCTCTCTTGCTTGCTCTGTAAGGCTAACATAGAAGGGGGAGGGGGGAAGGGGGTGACTTCACCAATAATGCTCCACAGCAGATGTGTGCCATGTAGACATCCATGCTGCTGCCAGGTTGGCACAGAAATGGGACACGTCAGCATGACATTGTGCCAAGTGTCATGATATTTTGTTGGAAAAAAGCTGCTCACTGCACCATCTTCAAATAAAGTCCATCATGCTCATTCTAGAAATAAATAAATAAATGGATTGATATGTGGATGGATTTATAGATGAATGTGTAAAATTTTGACACAGACGAAGAAGGTCCCTTAATAAGCAATTGGCATTGTCCTACCTGGCAACCCAATTGAGAGCATTTTTCTGGCAAGCATTCGAAACATTTTGCAAAAGGCAAACATATTTCAGTTATTGTTGTAAGAATCTATTTTTAAATGACAAGTAATTAACAGTTCATAATCAAAATATACTGAAATTACTACAAAAACAAGCTATTTAGCAATCAAATAAATAATGATAAAGATTAAAATACATAAATTTCTTACGACGAAATTAAATACAGATATAAATAAATAAAAATCAAGCAACATTTTAAGATGTATATGTATGTATGTATGTATGTATGTATGTATGTATGTATGTATGTGTATCAACTAAATTAAAGTAAATTTTAATAATCATAAACATGAAATATAATTAAAATAAAAATGTCATATACTAGGATTCTTTTAAGAAAAAAAAAATTGAACTACTTCTTTGCTAAATGAATGTGTGTGCATACATATGTGGTTTTTAAAATTTTTGTATTTTTTCCCATATGAATGTGTGCTTTTTATTCTATTCAAGTTTAATGTGGAGTCAAGGACACATCTTTATCTAATTCTTGATTCTTTGGATACACATGGTTCATTATTGTGTTGTATATTATTGCACATTAATCACTTGCTTTAACAAAGTACATTTTTTAACAAATCAATACTTCTCAATGCCAGTACTTCATATGTTTGTAATTAGAAAAAACAGAATATTGCTATAAAAATATTATATCTTTATGTTATATCTTTATAAATAATACTATTTTTATACAACTTTTTAGAATCTTAATGAAAATAAATTTTGATGTAGATAGCTTGCAGTTTAATACCATAAAACAAAAAAAATAAAGGAAACCAAAGTAAAAGATTGTCTTGATTTTAATATTCTATTTATATGTGAAGAAAAAATTCTTTAATACTTGTGAATTAATCTTTCTCTTTTCTTTTCTTTTTTTCTTTTTCTTTTCTTTAATGTACAAAAACTATCAAAAACATAATAATAAATTATAAATTAATTAAAGTTGGTTTAAACTTTATATTGCCTACTAGTGTATATACCACTTATTTTGTGTAATAGGTTTCTACCAGATTAAGATATCCATTGTGTATACTTTTGAGTGTAGTTAAATAATTATAATGATTATTAAAATAGTGGTGCAAGTATAATTCATTATTTTAGGTTTTCGTCAAAAAACTTATTGTTTTTATTCTTTTAATTTTTTTTACAAATTGAAGTTTAGATGCAACACTTTTGAAGCTAATATTTCTTGAATTTCAAATCCAAAAAACTTTATAAAAAATTTTGAAAATATAAACAAAAAATCACACACATACAAAAATCAACATTAAAAATAGTTTTTTTAAAAAAATAAGATAAAAAATCGACAAACAAAATTACAATTCTATAAAGCTAAATACTAGAATTGTAATTCAATAAAGCCAAGTCCTAAAACTCTTGAAGATTGTTGAAGAAATAATCTGAAATCCAACCAAATAGAGCATCCATCACTTTACAAGAACAATGCTTACAATTTCCTTGCCCAGAGGGGTTTAAAGAATATCCTTGCCTCTTCTTGGAATCCCAACAGGAGCACCTATTAATTGGCATGAAAGCCTTATATATATATATATATATATATATATTTAGAGAAAAAATACAAATTACTTATAGAGAAATATTATATATGTTTATGTATGTGTATGTGTGTGTATGTATGTATGTATGTATGTATGTATGTATAGTTTTAATAGAATCTTATAAAAAAGGATTTATGTAAAAAGTTCTAAGTTGGTATGTAAATAATTTCATTTTATGCTTTTTCTATAAAAAAATGTTATATTAACGAAGTTTTAAAATAATCTACTTACATTACATTGCAAATAAATTATTTACAAAATTAGTTGAACTATTTATAATTATTTTTCAAGTGCAAAAAAAAAATTCCTTACTACTTACTTACAAATTTGATTTATTCTTTGTAACAGAAATAATGTCTAAATTTTTTAAATCATATCTCTTAGAATCCACCATATATATATATATATATATATATCCACTTCACGTAAGTTGGTGTAATAAAAAATGATTGCATGACCAACAATTTAAGATTTATTTAAACTTAGATACATAAATATGTGTGCCCCATGGTTATTGTTCTATCTTTTTTGTCTTTTTATTTATTTTTTGACTGAAATATAAATTCTTTTAAGAAGAAGAAAAAAATGTAAATTTTTATATTAATAAAAGGTATTTTCTTGTTAATTCACTTTTTTTTTTTTTTACCACACTTTATTTCAGAAAGAATATATATATATATATATATATATATATATGAATTTAAAATTTTTAACTAA